GCGGGGCAACTATCAGCCGATAGTTCCTCGACAGAAACACTCTATTGTTTAAATATGATTATAGTTGAACCTTGATTATCCAGACTCATTGGGACTTGGGTAAATGGTTCGGATAATAGCTAGGCCATTTTATAGTTGTGTACTTAGTAATGCCAAGCCTTTGATTTGGAGTGAGGCTGAAGGTGACCTTGTCGTGATAGAGACATGTATCTAGTTAGAATGATAACAAAGTGATTTACATTTGAAAGGCAGCAAGGTTTGTATCATAACAAGGTCACCCCTAGCCTCACTCCTGTTAAAAGGCTTGGCAACCAAGCACAACTGTAAAATGGACTATTGAGTGTCCGGATAATTGGAAATATGAATATTAATGAGACAATAAATATAAACAAAAGAAATATAAAGAATTCAAAGAAAGTTTTGAAGATCAAATCTCATTAATATTCATGAAAAAAGTTGGACCAGAGAAAAAGTCTGGATAATCAAAAAGTCCTGATAATCAATGTCTGGATAATCGAGGTTCAACTATACCAAAATGTCCTCCAGTCACTGTTATAAATTATTCACAATGGATACGCTTCTCTAGACCAGTTGGGGCAGTTACCAGATACTACAGCTTCATCTGGCGTTAATAGTTGTAACATACATGCAACAAAAACAGCCTTTATCAACAGCCTGTTGACTACTGGAAACATAATACAAATGAATAATTTCATATAATGATGAATTGTATCAATAAAACTGGCAAAATAATAATTTATGAATTTGAAATTATTGACTAAATGTAATAGGTCAAGTCTGTTGTACGTATTTAAGCCAAAGTGGCCCAGTGGGCAGGAGCTTCCTTTGGTTTCCATAGTATAATGTCAGAAGGAGTATTACTGCCCCCTCCCCTGGAGGGGATGTCAGTTCATCAATTTCCTGGTAACGATTGAGGCACTGTGAGATGCACTGTGAAAGAAAAGCCATTGAGCTAACCGCCTCCCAGTTAGCTCAATGGATAGAGCGCTGGACTGATGTGCAGGAGGTCGAGGGTTCAAGCCTTGGCCGGACCAACACTCAAGGTCTTAAAATAATTGAGAAGAATATGCTTCCTTTCTATAACATCAAGAAATGATTAGATTTTCCAGTCTTCTCGGATAGGGATGAACAAATGGAGGTCCCGTCTCCTACCGGGTTAGGGGTAGGAGACATTAGTTTCCTACGCACGAGATTACTGTGTGATGGATGTCCTCCCCTGGGGTGGGATGAGTGGGATTTAATGGGTGGACTACTCGCATGGTTTGCATATGTTCCGTTCTAGTCCTACCCTACTGTGGTAATGCAGTGAAAATGGTTAGAAAAAAAAAGAAAAGAAAAGAAAAGGATATGGCCCAAGAACATAACACAATGACAGAGCTAGGTCTTGTACCCAGACTTCTCAACCCAGAGTCCAGGGGATTACACCAATATATGCCACTGTATCTTCCTCATTGAGTAAATGTCCAAACAGAAAAGCAGATTTTTTTTGCCTGGTCAGTTTTTGTTTATTAAGTGGCATCCCACCTAACATTCTGTTGATTGATCTGTTGCTTTGTAATATTTTAGTCTTTCATCTAATGAAAAGAATGGTATGAGAGGAATGGCAGATAAGCTCACTATTGAAGAAATCCTCCAAGCAGCTGGAGTTACAAGTCTGGATGAACCCTCAGATGCCCTCAATGCTAAGGGAAAACCTTTCCGCAGACATGGAATTGTATTGCATATGGCCATCAATTATCAAAATGCCAAGTCGACCTGGCTTGGAACAGGGTAAGTAACGCATTTTATTACACAACTCGGGCAGTCAGAGGGCCAATAACTAAAATCAACCAATCAAAATGCTCTATTCCCAGTCAATATTCTCTCAGTATTGGACCGGGCACTGTCCCGAATGGTCCCGAATGGTCCTGAATGATACCGCACTTGTGTCCCTTTGAACTTCAGTCGTATAATAAATCTCTTATTAACCAAGCTTGCTCTGGACCTCACTGGAAGAATATCTGCCCTTGGTCTTTTTTATACGGACTGAACTGCGCTCGGTCCGTACTGTCAAGACCTCGGGCCGATATTCTCCCAGTATGGCCCTCGTGCTTGGTTAATAAGATCTACAAAAATCATCAATTTCCTTACTAGTTAAAATTCCTTTCCTTGCCTACATTTTGTCAGTCCAAAATTGAGAACAACGTTGTTTTAACTACAGATCAGACCCCTTCTACCCACTAAAGTCCAGAAAATGTGACAGTGTCCCCAAAAGGGAATATTATAACCTATTAAGTTCAGCAACAAAGAAAAACAGTTTCTTTTATTATGAATCATACACCAAATGCTAATATGGTGTCCAATTTGAATTGCCATTGTTCTGGACTCACTGGCCTCATCTTCGCGTGGAAACACAAAAGCATTATTACATGTGCGAGAGGCTAGTGAGTCCAGAACAATTGCAACTCAAATTGGATGCCATGTTTTCATTTGGTGTATTATAAACTGATCTCTGAATTCTCTTTCTTCTTTTCTTCTGTTCAAGAACCCTCCCTGGCTGGTATCATTATTTTTTATGATAAGCTGAATTGCACATTCATTTTGATATTAATTTTGGTCCTTATGAGTGATCTATTACAATCCTGACAGACACATAAAAAATTAATGATGTCACTATAAACAACATTTTGTTTCTTTATCATGTAAAACTAATAGATTTCATGTTGCCATGGGTCTGTAAAGTAATTAATAGATCACAGAAGACGTCATGTGGTAATTGCAGTTAAACAGTGGTAAGAACACATGAAGTGACACATTCGGCTGCACCTGGTGAAAAGACTCACAGCAACATGGAATCTTTTTGTTAAGAATAAAATTATTCTTACTTCCCTCACACCAAATCCATGATGCCTTCTTACCCCATGAAAAATTACAATTATAATGCTGCCCAACTCAAACTGATGATGGTGTAAAACATGGTTCAGCAAGATGGCTCTTCCCCTTAAACACTGTACAGTTACACAGGTGTGATTTGCAGTCCTAGTAACTAGCCTGCAGTGCACGAGTGTTATAAGGGAAAGTAAACAATTGTGCAGTTCTTTCAAAAGAAGTGCACAATTGTCACTCAAACAACCATGTCTAATTTGGAGTTAGAGCCAACCATAGGGGGAGGGGGCAGGATGGGGCAAAAAGACTCCCCCACCCTCACCCCTTCCTTATTTTTTACTGTCACACACCCCTTTAGTACAAATCTCTTTCTCTCCCCAGTGTTCTGCTTCCAATAACATAAAAGATGACAGCCATAATATTTGCTAAGAAAATGGAAAAAATTATGCTTGCTCTGCAGGCTAACCTATTAACCTAAGTTGGATGGAGGTACTTGTGGCCTCTTGACCTTGCTTCGAGACATTAAATCTTGTTAACGACAAGTTTTTGTTCACTGTTGTCTTGTTAGAGATATAGAGTATTCATACCAGGTGAGAAGAATCCCATATGCTGATTACCGAGTGAATGAAGTCATACCAGTCATAGATGCCACAGATTTTACAAACCCAAGTTTAGAACGTCATCAAGAAAAGCGACTCTTCAGGAAGCGTTATGGAATCAAAATAGAATTTCACCAAAGTGGTAGACTGGGTAAGCTAAAATTGATTAGATTGGGTGAAAATGTAGTTCCAGCCATTAAAGTTCATCCAAACAGACTTAAACCCAAAAATAACTGAGATTCATTTTGTACATTAAATTTAGTAATTTACAGTGTAGGTTTGAATTATTGTGGATTTTAGGTTTTTTTTTAACAAACTCCTTTTTTTTGCTTAAAATTAAGACTTCCCTTACTGTGTCAATAATCCCTTGACTCTAACGAGTAAAACTAACATCTAATTTCTGCTGACAATATCTCCCCTGAATCACACATTTAGGTCACAAGAATAAAGAAAATGATCATCTAGTAATCAAATAAAAGAAGCTGTTCATTATTAGACCAATTCTCCTTGTCAGCATCTTAGGAAATGTATAGAGATATAGAGGATATTACATGGCCGGGCGAAGATACGAATTTTATCTTCTCGTGCTGAAAGTATCTCTCACAAATGAGCGCAGCGAATGAGTGAGAGATACTTTCAGCACGAGAAGATAAAATTCGTATCCCCAAGCAGCCATGTAATGTTCTGTTTATTATTGTAGATACTGATGAAATTTCCACATAAAAGACAACTTTTTTTATTCATTTTCGAAAGAGCAATTGGGTAATTATGTTGGTAACCATGGCCACACCTATATCCTCACACATGAAAGATAAAAATAGTATCTTCACTGCGCACGGTGAAGATATGATTTTTTAAGTAAAAGGAGAAATCCTGATATTTCATCAGTATCTACATGATAAATGCATACTGTTATTAGGGTGCAGAGCTAAAGAAACAATATCTTAATTCATCTATTTTTATTCTCCTTAGGTCACTTCTCTTTCCCAGCACTGTTACAACACCTCGTCTCTGCAGTTGGCCTTCTAACACTGACAGCAACCATTGTGGATATTCTTGTTCTGTACATCTTGCCTTATAAATCAGAATACCGCAGATTTGTTTATGAAGAGTCTCCAATCTTAGAAATGAAAAAGAATGCATAACAAAATGTCCAACTGTTTTACCAACAATTATTTATTGGTTTATTAAGAATTTTTACATATAGACGATTATAAAAGTTCTTGTGGAGTCATGTTGTACAACTTGTAAATTCACCTGACTGTAAATTTCCAAGTAATAAGTCTTAAGAATTTTTTCTCATGGTGAAGTTGATTTCTTAAGTACAAATTATGATGCAAAAATTATCATGATTTTACCACGTGGTTTATCATAATTACAGTAGTGGTGATCTAGGTATCAATCAAATATCATCCTTGCATAATGGTTTGATGTGACCTCAGTTTCTTTTTAAAATATACAATCAGTAAAGTTGATCCTTTCTTAGCCAGACACAATCAGGCAGCAGAACTAAGAAGTATAGTGTATGTAACTGAAGATGATTCACATCTAAGCTTTTATCATCATTTAATATGACACATGGTCGACGAATGTTTCTCACAGAGCAAGAATGTGGAACTGCCTAAATGTAATGTATGAAATGAATTGCAGTAAAGTACCAATAACAGGTTAAGAAAAATTAACAACTAAGAGAAATGATGTGCTCGAAAACAAGTTGTCATGCTAGCTTGTGATACATACATACATATACTTTATTTAATCTCGAATTTGGAGTAGCTAAACAATAAGCTAGTATCTTTGAGTTACAAGTATAATTCTAAATACTACTAAAATGTAAAATGTAAAATTGTAACATTCTAAAATTTAACTATGAGAAAGAGTCATACTGTAGAATCTTGCGCTTGAAATCAGAAAAGTCAGACGTTCTAAAAGAGTCCGGAAGAGAGTTCCATAGTTTTGAAGCCATATATGAAAAGGAGTGAAGACCATAAGTAGTAGTTTTTGTAGACGGTAGAGACAAAAGATAATTTCCGCGTAGATTATAGGATACAGACCTGTGATGAGCACAAAAAGGAGTTACCGGTATACACGAGCTGTCTTGTACCCAGATCTCTTTTGCACATTGTGCCCATTCTTCAGCCAGGGAAAGTGCAACAAATAATCCAGAGGAAGGCCAATAAGTGAATTATTTACAGTGTCAGTAGGAATTGAAATATTGAGATCTCTGATTCAAATTCTCTGTACACCCACTCAAATGAATGCATTTCCTAATAGTTCTGCTTTGACTTGAGCCATCAGATATGATTTACAACTATTTAACATTTTTCGTACATCAACATTTTAACAGTATGCCCCAGTAAGTAAAGAAAGGCTGAAAACATCATCAGGTTACATCAAGTAAAATTATTTTTTAAATAGAACAGTGTTACCAGTATTAGCAGATTGTTCTGACATGTTCCAATATTCTAGATGAGAACTATGGACTTGACTAAACTGTAAGTCTGCAGTTTGGATTTCCATTAGGAAATTTAAGACAGTAAAAAATCAGAAAACTGTGAACACCAGAAAAATTACTTTCCATTTAGTTATTGTATTTCATCAAAACTGAAACAAAGCCAATCAGATACCAAAACGACTCCAACGTATCAGCAATGCTGATTAGTTTGTGGTTTATCAGTTTGCTCCAACTTATGTCTATCTCTAAAATTTCATGATTGATAATATCAAACAAGTGAATTTCAGGGGTTCCTGGTTTTTTTTCTTGGTAACAGTTGACTACCTGATTTTAAGTTGTGATAAATAATTGCAATTTATACATGGAAGGATGAAGACAAATAAGGGTGATCAAATGTTACAGAAGCATGATAAGAACGATACACTTACTTGGTTATTCTATAATACTGTTATGCTAAAATACAAAATGACCTTACTCAAAAGACATGTAAATAAACAGGAATTTCATAACTTTAATTTATGATATAGTTTTCATTGAAAATTCATATGTTTATAGCCACTAATCCAGTCAAATGTTAATAGGAATGTACATATTAACAAAATTGGCTAAAATCAGATCTGATTATGATGGACCCTTTGAACATTATTCCTCACGAAACTACTCCTGACAAGTACATGTATAAAATTATGTTGTAGTTCAATTTTACTCTTGGTTTAAATTTCATTTTCCTTTGTTCTCCGTCATGTCAATGTATGATAATGAGTTTGAAACAAAGGAAAATAAAATTTGAACCAAGGATAAAATTAAACCATAACATATACAATTATCAGCTTTCAACACATCTGCATTTGAAATGAAACAAAATTGATTGTCTCACAAAATGTAGTCACCTCGGATGTGGATAGCAATGTGAAGTTGAGAAGCTGAGAAGTGTGTCACCTCCAACATGGAGTGGAGAAGCAGGTGCCATCTCCCAAAGTGGATCACAACATGGCCCATTGCAGAAACGTGAGAGGACTGGGACGAGTTTCTTATATTGATTACATTGAAAATCTAAACATTTCAACTGAAATGTTACTGAATGAAAAGCTACCCAGTCAAATTTGAGAGTTTTCAGCAGAAAAGTGTCCAAATCGGAGCCTTGCAAAAGTTGCAAAAATTCCATACAAACCCTTAAAAATTTTTTGGCCTATCTACCCAATCCATTTTAGGTGATATTTGAAGAGCCATCATTTTGCCCTTTTCCTCCTCTAAATACTTCTATTCTTGCTTAAGACTCTCAAATTTAGTTGATCTTTCATTTGAATATCTTAGTTTTTCAAACAAACGGAAAACAACCGCACTCTTTCCCAGTCCTCTCTCGTTTCTGCCATGGGCTATGGATCAAAGAAGCATGTGTTGCTTCCAATGTGGATCCAGTATTGGGAGGCAATCAAATCTTTTGACAAACAATTCTACTTCATTTCAAGTCAATTCACCACAGTGACAATAATTATTACCCACAACATTTCTTTACAATATCATTATCTGCATTTGTTTAAATAACATGCTGAAGACAGCAGGATTAAGTAGTCATTTTGAGTAGTGGGCACAAAAACCATATTTCAAAAATGACATTCCACATATCTACTCATGTTCGAGTTGGCTTTTATTTTCACGTCTCAATGTAGCACACATGTTGACCAAGAACTGTAGACTGTCCATGTGTCTTATGAAGGCCCAGCAGATGTTGAAAAGGCATGTAAATTTCCCATCTGACTAAGACCAGACTGGATGTGAGCGACATGAATCTCTACATTGTTTTGAAAACAGCTGCAGAACAAGAAAAAAAAATGAAACAACTATCAGCTCTCATTTCATACAATCTTCAGCTAAAAAACAACACTTGTAACTCCTCTACAGAGACACCGTAATGAAGATAAGATAGTTGAGCCTCAGGTCAATATCCAATGACCCCCCCCCCTTGATACTAATAACTTGCGACAAAAGACCAAAAAAATGACCTTTCTTTAACCTGATACACCCTAACAAGAGTTAACAAGTTCTCCATGCTGTCCACTCTATACATTTCCTTACTTGTAAGGAGAATTTGCCTTAAAATCAAGAGCTTCTTGAAGCAATTGCCCAAAATCGGTTTAACAAAATTTTGTCAAATCTGCAATTTTTGTTACAGCATGCTTTTCTGGATGTAAGTATTAAATACACACCTAATGTTTGAAGGATCTATAGTTTTCTTGATTTCATCCACTGCATCAGATAAAGATTTGAACTCAAAGGTATTGAGATCATTCTCTGCTAATGACTGAAAATATGAATGGAAGAAGGATAAGAGCTGTCAGTTAAGTTGCTTTCAGGCTACACAGTATTCCCTGGATCTCTTTGACAAGGAGTTGTGAAGTACATGTAGCATCAAAAGAATGCAATTTGAAGCTGTCATGATCTTTGTGCACTATGGGTACTTCCGCTACCACTTCCACCACGACTTCTACTACCACCAATACCACCACCACAAACTACTATCAATGGTAATCTCAACTAAGGCTATGACTACTAACCCTACTTTAACCACTACCACTGCCACCACTGCTGTTACTGCTTACATGTGTCTAAATTTTGTAGTCACTTACCTTAATTTGAAGCATGAGAGAAGTTAGACTGCTGACAATCTGCACCAATGGCTCACTTGTGAGAGCGTTTCTGAAAAATAATCAATCTTTTAATGGTAGTGATTAATTTTCATGGACACATTACATCAGAACACTGAACTAACTCAAGCTGGAAACACCCAGTAGACCATGGTTTGAGCCCAGTTTAAAAGGTTGATCATGTAGTATGATGGTCCAGGTGAAGCAGTTATGAAAAAGACAGTCGTAGGTCAGAGTCACTGATAATTATTTTTGTCACCATGGAGAAGTCATTGTCAGATCTAAGACAGTGCCAATAGCTTTGAGTAGGCTCTCACTGGTGCTTGTTAAGTAACAAGGTAGCACAAGACAAGTGCAGGAAGGACCTTTTTACAACTCCTACCACTGACAATGTATGTGTGAGGCTGATTGCAAACTATGGCCAGTAATTCTCAGTACTACGTTACAGAATTCAATACATACAGGCCCATGTTTGCATTATTGTCTTCCACTACTTTGGTAGCCTCTTCATCGCATCTTCTTTTAACACTACTGGAGGGATCCATAGATTGAACACCTTGTTCAGGGGCAAGCTGATTTGAAAACAAAGCCCAAATAAGCACCTCACTTGCTATGTTGTAACTTTTCAATGTGTCAGCCTCTAAATTTGGAGTAAAGCTGATCGGTTTTACAGTATATCTATTCTGTGGAAATGGATTGGTTCCTGCTGTAATGAAAATATTCTAAGTTGTTCAATCAGTACTTATTAGGTCATTAGCAATAAACCCTTTAAGACTCAAGATCAAATCAGAATTTCTCCCTACTGACTACAGTTCCTTGTAATTAGTCAAGGGAATTTGGTATTATAACAAAATGATACCCCCTGTTGATGAACTTTTCCATTCTCCTAACTTGTTTACAAGATGATATGTTGGGGCCACAATGAGAAGTTGCAAGTTAATCAGTTTTAGGGGATTAAAGGGCTATTAAGCAATTATATGGGAAAATGTTCAAACCTCTTGGCAAAACTCCTGAACACCTGTTAAATACTCATTGAGATCCTGCAACAAATGGCACAAATCATCAACATTTGCAATAATATTGTGTCTGAATATTAGCCTAGTTCTTTTTTTTGCATTTCTACGGACTTCAACTTTGTCTCGGTCTTAAAAAGACGCAAAAAAAAAAAAAAAAACTCAGCCAACATCCAGACATCTTGCCCTCACACTTGGTCAATGACACATAGATAGGAAATATAAATTAATTGCAGCAAAGAGTAGTTTATTGGTTAACAAGAACATACCATAATTTATGTTAGGAGTAAATGGTGTATAATTATTATAAAAGGTTAGGAAAAATGAACAACTACGAGAAATGATTTACTTGACAAAAACAAAAAAAAACACTAAAACTCACCTTATTAAGCCGCTCTAATTCCAATACCACAGAAGCATATCTCCTCTGGAACTCCTTATCAATGGGCTCCTGGTAGGATTTCTAATAAGTGAGTAAAATAATAGAGTAAAAATACAATTGGTATAGCTGGATTGCCAATTAAGATACTACCCTTTACAGTGATTATGGGTGAAGTGATATTGACTCAGACTACAGGGTTCGCATACGTTTGACCTGTTAAAATTCCATGACTTTCCATGACTTTTTCCATGACTATTTGAAAGATTCCATGACCCGTTTGCAAACATTCTCACAATGCGTGCTTCTGTTTATTTCTAATGAATCTAAATCTGATTTTCGGACTCATCAGTTAACTTTTCAACTTTGGGTCTTATTGCCTTTCACTCATAGAGAGCATATTGATTTTCCATGACTTTCAGAGACCCACACCTAAATTTCATGACTTTCAAGGCCTGGAAAATGAAATTTTGAAATTCCACGACTTTCCAGGTTTTCCATGACCTGTACAAACCCAAGACTACTGTAACAATGATGATGGCTATGGTCACAGTAATGATAACAATAGTGCTCACTAGCTTGTAGAAGTTACTTAGTCCTTTAACTTCCAAGATCTGCTTGTTGATTCTCCCCTCTAGTTAGGAGGAGATCACAATAATAATAATAATAATAATAATAATACCTTTATTTAGACACAATAAAGTTTAAAGCTGAACAGCTTGTGGGGTCGTGTCTAAATCCAAATAAACTCGAAATTAAATAAATTCAAATGATGATGGTTTTTCAGGAGAGGGCAAAACCGGAGTACCCTGAGAAAAACCTCTCTTAGCAAAGTAGAGAACCAACAAACTCAATCCACTTATGACAACAAAAAACTCAATCCACTTATGACAACAAAAACTTCTACCTGATAAGTTTTAAGTATTCTCATCAGCTGTTTGTTGGATAATGTATGGATATCATAGGGAGAAGTTACAGGTTAGTCACTTAGGTGAACTCATTTAAAAGAGTTACAACAAAAAAAATTTAAACCAGCAAAAGACAATAGAGCTCAAAATTTATTCCATCTCTATCAAGCTAATTGCAAAAACAACTTATTGATCGACATTCAGCACTACAAACGTCGCATGAGGAAGATTCCGACCCCATTCCATTCACTCTCACGTTTCACCCTCACAACCACTCAGTTAAATCAATTATTCTTAAAAACTTTAAATTACTTCAAAACGATCCAGAGACAAGCACTATCTTTTCACAGCCTCCGCTCATTTCATTAAAATGCGACAAAAACATAGGCAATTTTTTGGTCAGAAGTTCTTTTCAGACTAATGACCAACCAGGCACTTTTAAATGCGCTCGTGCACGATGCAAAATGTGTCCTTTCATTCACAACACTGATAAAATATCGGGACCTAAACAATCCATTAAGATCACCGATCACTTCACGTGCACCTCCGCCAATGTAATCTATTGCATAACTTGCACTTATTGCAAAAAGATATACATCGGCAAAACAGGCAGAAGACTAGGTGACCAATTCCGAGAACACCTTCGAGACGTGGAAAGGAATGACAAGGACACATCGAAACCAGTCGCTAGTCATTTTAATTTACCTAATCATTCTAAGCAGCATATGGCAATCTGCGGTCTTTCCTTGCACTTAGGTAGCACGGAAAGCCGTAAAACTCTTGAACAAAAGCTCATCTTTCAAACCGGTTGTCTAAATCCTACAGGGATCAACAAATGCTCTTCATTCCACTAACTTATTCATTTTTTTCTTGTTGCCATGTTCCCACCAATAACCATTGGTGGGAACATGGCAACAAGCCATGTTCCCACCAATGGTTATTGGTTCCGAACATGGCATTTTCTTCCTTTAAAAGCACACATAACCCACAATTCCTCTATTTGCTCCGACGAAGGGCTAACGCTCGAAATGTAAGCTTTTGTAATCGTTACAGTGGCCAATTTACCATTTCAACTTTGTTGATATATCCAAATTATTTCGTTACTCCCACGACGCAGCCCCAAACAGTTTCTTTCGAAACTATCAGCCTTTATTAATTGCAAAAACAGTCCTTTGTAGTTACAGGATAATTAGCACAAGGCACTACCAAAGTTTGATTGCAAATTCAAAGCCTTGAACTCTCACCATATTTTCAGCTTGTGTGTTCATTTCTCTCAACTTTTCAATGCATTCTTTCTTGACAAGTAAGATCTTTGATAACCTTGTCTACAAGACAAAAATCTTTCTCAAATAAATACTCACAAACACTGACATCTTTGAATGCTCAATGTAATTATGGTTTTAACTCATGAGTGTCGAAGTTTGGTTACAATGCATATTTGATGGAATCATGAAAAACATACCACAAGGATGAGAAACCTGATTGGAAAACCACCAAGAGTGCCACCTTAAGACAAATGATACAAAGATACATCTTAAATTTTAGATCAATTTTAATGGAAAATATGTTTCAACAACAAAAGGACGAGACAGCAGAAAGCAAATCGTTATCTTTTAAATTTCGTTTTATAATGTCTAGTCAAGGCTGAACATGGAAAAATATCCTCATAGGAGATAAGAGCACTTTGTCAATGGAAAATGACACAACATTGTGATAACAATGCCATCAAATTTGTCCTCAATTACCTTGCCCTTGTTGGGAGATTGCATCTTGAAGTCGTAACCTTACAGAGCAATGAAACAATATTCAATTTCTTCATTTTACTGTTAATAGCTATAATTTTCAAAACTTGTTTCCTACATCCCCAAAACCTCTGTTTAAAAATGGTGGCAAATGCAAGGCTCCTGATGTGTACATGATTAATTACTCTTCTTCTGTCTATTAATGACGATTTTTTTTTCTCTTATAAAAGTGTTATGCTGTAAATTGCACCAGGCCTATTTCTCATGACAAAAATTTACGTACTGGTACTTGTTGAAGTTATTTTTATTAACACTGTAGGTGCTACCTAGAAAATTTCAAATTGGTGAGAGTTTGAAGAAGCAACAATGCTGGTTCGCCCAGTTTTATAACAATTAACCCTAACTTTCAAAGTCTGTCTCTATGATCAATCCAATTAAATCCTCTTCAGTCTTAGCAATGATTCTTCCTTGTGTGTTGAAAATTGTCTGTCCTGGATTTTTCTTATAACATTTTGCAGTCCCCACCAAGTTCAGGGTAGTTTCAAACAACAATTAAAACAACAAAATGACATTGATGTGACTGAAAGATCAATGACTGTTACCTTCCGGGTGAAGCTCCTATAAGAGGATCATGAACCTGTGAAAAGATGTGATGGATATGAATTCATAAGTAAAATTTACTACAGGTATCAGGTGAAATGTTAGCATCTTGATTTCTCTTTAACACAATGCTGGAAATTTTCTTACCATATTTGGGCTATTCAAGTCACTACCAGCAGGAAGAAGCCTAGAAGATATCAAGCTTCCATTATCATTAAGAAAAAAAAAAAATCTTAAAAAGACCAAATTGTGCAAATGAAAGCATGATAACAGAAGTGGATTAATGAGTTTGTATTACCTTGGTGGTGTATAAGCAGGAGTGAATGCTGCAGTTCTTGGTCGTTCTTTTTGAAGAAATGCTGATATGGGCATAGTGTCATGAGCCTCCTCACTCTGAAAACAGTGGATCAGTGTTATAAATTTTTTGGCCTTTTCTTTTTTTTTTTTTTTTTTTTT